TTTGGTTCTTTTGTAGTATGGTAATCTTCTTCATCATTATTTACCCGCGATGGATGGTTCCCATTGCACATTTTTCTTTTCCAAGAAACGAGACTAATTAGTTATCGTGGATTCCCTTTACCTTTTCGGAAAAAAGGAAGTGAGGTTACTGATCTTCAGAAGCCACATAATTTTGTACAAATCCATGGGAGGAGAGAACCTGTTTCTTTTGGCAGTGTAGGGTGAAAAATTGAACCAATTTAGAAATTCTTTATATTTGTTCTATTGGTTTTCCTTATATGATCATTGGAATACCAATTCTTATGTGATTTTCTTATATGGCCTATATAGATTCTGTTGTTGTTTTCAATTTCAAGTTTCATCCAAATTACATTAAGAGGCATGCACCCGTGTGTTGTTTGTTGCTTCAACGTCGTTTGTCCATGTTATAATGTCTATGGTTGTAGCAGCCAGAACAACCAGACTGTTTCCGTTGCTCGAGCTTGCTAAAAGTGGTGGTTCTGAGGTGGTAGTAAAGTTAGGCATGATGGCTCAAAAGATGTTACAAGGCCAAATACATGTACAAGCCCTTAAACTTGCGCGGATATCTCATTTAGACACATGAACTCAGGCTTGTTCCAATTGAACAGAATACGACTTCTGGCTTGTTCCCATATTGATTCACGAGCACGATATTGTGTTCAATTGGAACAAGTCTGAGTTCAAGTGTCTAAATGAAATTTTCCGCCAAAAAAACAATTACTTGTAAGTTGAGGTATTTTAACTAACATTAATTGGCATGAAGCTATTTTTACCAAAATGCTACTGAAATTACTCACAGGTTGCTTACAAGAATCAAAGTAACCAAATATGGTAATTGCGTTTTGTATCTAAATTAAATAATGGAAATTCTGTTTTGTGCAACTAATTATTATTAAAAGTATAAAAAGAAGTCTTGATAAGTTCTCTAGGAAAAAAAATTCACAACTAACTGGATTAATTTGCTAGAAAATATGGACATATTGTACGTGTTAAGCATCATATTATTGATTTCTTCCTTTGTTGGTGTATTTATTTTCATCGTAGAATGTTGCACTAATGGTATTGGAGCTGATGAAATAACACGAGGCACGTGTCGCGTTGTTGCTTCACCATCTTTTGTCAATGTCAACGTCTACCGTGGCAGCCAGAACAACTTGCAGGCTGCCACCGCTGCTCAAGTAGGCGGTGGAGCCGCCAAAAGTGGTGGTGCAAAAGATGTTACTATAGTTATACGTGATGGCATAAATGGTAAGGTAAATACTACTACTAGTGTTTACTCATCATCATCAACTAGCTATGTTGAGAATAATAAATGTGGTATTTGCAAAAAGGCGGTTACGTTGGAGTCCGTTTCCGTGAACGATGGTATCCGTGCTAATGATGGTGGTGGTGGTAATGTCGGAGTTGATGCAACTGGTGGTGCTAGCCATGCTAAAACAAGTAGTGGTACTAGTAGCTAAGCTAGCAAAAAAGACAATTAAAAGTGTTGTGTGTGTGTTGGGAGGGGGGCATGATATCAAACTTATATTATTACTATTGTTCTTCTGCTATCTTATTGTTCGATTTTATTATTACTTGTTATCTACTTTGCTACAATTATCATATTATTATTTATTTATTTAAATAAATGGTCTATCAAGCAACCTTTTTACCTTCATATTAGGATATCAACTTTTAAAAGAACCAAAACTTCTCTAATGAAACTTAAAAGAGACCATTTTTGTCATTTCTTGTAGTTTTGGTATTTACTTTTATGTGACCAATAGATGAAGCTAGAAACAAATGCATATTATGTAATTAAACATAAGTCAATATTATTACTATTTTATTTGAGATTGAGTGTTGTTTAGAAACTTTTGACTTCGCTACAAAATAGGGTCAATTAAGGTAATTGACAGCAACACATAACAAATTCTGGCCGCTAGTGACAACAATAAACAACATATACCAAATATAATTTCACAAGTCGAGTATACAAAACTGTATTCTAAAAAATAATTTTGGGATTCGTCTATAAATTTTAATTTTTTTTTAGTCATATATAAATTTTAATTTTTTAAAATACATTTCGATTTACACAAATGTTTTTTTTTAACTCACCATTTAGTTGTGCAGATATGGTCTTTAGCAAACCAGCTTTTGGTACAATGTTATAATTTGGTTTATGCTTGTTCATATATTGCTCAATCTTACGACATAAATATTAAGTTATCATCCGTTTGCAAATAATTGCAATAACTTATAAAAATTTAGATTGTATTTTAAAAGGTCCATACGTTGTAAGCAAAATAAATTACTAATTTTTATTTTTACCAAATGTCATTTTCTTGATGAAACTACAAATTAAGAAGTTACCTAGAAGAATCACATGCCTCTCTTGAACAAAAAGGGTATTTGCATTTTGCAGAAGGTGTAATTTACTCCAAACATTTAAAGAAAATGGAAAATAACTTATCTGAAACATTATTATAAAAAAGCAGGATCAATTCTACTCAAAACTTAACAAGAAAAAATCAATTAAAAAAAACTTGGCTAGAAAAATGGACTCTGACATCATTTTAATCTTATTATCGGAGTGCACTAATGATGGAGCTAAGGAAATTAGAGAAACCCCTAATGTTGTTGCTTCATCTTCCGAATATCAGAGGCAGATTCAAGATTTAAAGTTGACGAATTCAAAGGTTCTTAGTACTTAACTTATTATACTTTTTAAAAAAGTTATTGAAATTTTAGTAATTTTCTATCACATGTACACATACATATATCTGTTTGGTGTTGAGGATACTAATTTAGTTGAATCGATTGAATGTAGGTTCTCTAACGGTGATGGAAGATGTTACTATATAGTTAGTGATGGCATGACCCTGGTGGTGTTCATGCTAATGATGGTGCCGATGAATGATGTTAGTGGTGTTAGAATTGGCAATTGCTTAATTGCGTAGCTAGTGGTGTTGGTGATCGTAGCCATACTAATATATAGTAGCTAGAAAAAGACTTAGTAAAAGGGAGATTTTTTTTTTAGAAAAGTGGAAATTGGAATTAGTGTGGAAATAGTTTAAATGTTATGCTTCTTGAATTTCATATGATGTAGATAAACTCTTTTTTTTATAAATCATGTAGTATATAGTAGATGAAATGTAAATTAATTTAGTTTGTGAACTAAGTTCCAATTTTATGATTTCTTTTTTCTTTGCTGCTTAACATTCTTCCCTTGATATATATATATATATAAATATATATGTTCTTTGAGTTGTTGAAATAATCTCTATTTTCATGTAAGAATAAGATTATATAAACATCATCGTCTTTAGACTCCACTTGTAAATTTAAACTGCTAATGTTGTTGTTCGTTTTCAATGGTTAATAGGTATAATATTGAGCTAAACTAAACTATTCTTATCGATTATGAAATTGAGAATTACCTAGCTTATCTTTTCTTTTTCTTAGCTAACATGTCAATAATCTAATGTAAAAATTTATCAATCCGATATTTACACCACAAAATTTCAATTCCTCGATATTGCATCAACTTTACAAATTCTATTTATGCGTGTTATCCTTGCGTAGGGCCATGTTAATCTTTTCTGTATCGTTCCAATTTTATCAAATGTCTCCGAAGGAACAAAACCTTTAAATTGAAAGTGAAGGATGCTTAAGGAGTAACTCACTCTTGTTACAACTTTATAATTTGTTTATTTTTTACCTTCCGTGCTTAACTGTAATTAATTTTTGCATATATATTTTTTAATTTTTAACTATAATATAAAATTGTTGTTATAGATTAAATATTAAATGTGGATAAGTATTTAACTACCGTAATTTAAGAGATTCAGATAAATCCAAACCATAATGGGCTGAAATAAAAGCCCAAACCCATCAAAAAACCCTAGCTATGTATCCTATAAATACACAAGATCTACTATTAAAATTAATTCAATTTTTCATTTTAGATCTACTTTTTCTCTCTTCAATTTTGCTTGTAATTTTTAAAAAAAATAGCATTTACTATGATTTTCTCTGTGTTTTGATTCATAACAACTGAGAAAATACGAAAAAAAATGCTAAATTAATTTATTTTTTCGTACTTATGGACACGCAGATTTGAATATTTTTTCATGAATTTATGCGTTTTCTCGTAAGTTCAACATTTTTTTTTTGTTGATAAATTTAAGTTTTTTATTTTTGTATTTTGCTCAGTGATGATTGATTTTGCTTTAACCACACTGAAATAAAGAAGTTTGATGAAGATTTGGATAAGACCTTTTTGGATTTTTAGTTGAAGATTGTTTACTCAATTTTTTTATTTCTTTGTTTAAAGGCTTTATGAATCTTTTTGATCCAATTTATTTTGGTGTAAAAGATGAAAGCATTTTGCAGAGAAAATTAAAATTGAGTGGGGATTTATTTATTTAATTCTTCAACTTAAAAATCCTTAATTTGGTCAGTCAATTTCTTTGTTAAACTTTTTCATGTGGACAAACTTTGGCCCTGGTCTGAGAGCAAATAAATAATTTTTTGAATTTTGTTTGATTTATGTATTTTTGTTATAGTTTATTGGAATCATAAGCAAAGTTTAAATTATCAAGAAATTATATTATATAAATTGGTACACCATTAAATTGGATTAGATTAGAAATAAATAAATTTTGTATGAATTTTAGAAACTGATTGAAATAAGCATAATGTTAATAGTTTAGTGATTGTTTTGTTAGTTTGATACAACATCAAAAACGTAGTGAGATAGTTTTCGAAAGACCCTTGATCCCAATTCATAGCGTATACCCAATGCAGTTATCAATAGACTCTTGGTTTAAGCAAATCTAATAATATTAATTAAAACAAAAACTAATTGAATATCGATAATGTTGAAAGTGTAAGTTATCAATTAATAATCATCATTCATATAAGGTAAACTTTCATTTAAAATGTAATAATGTAACAATTACAAGTAGAATAAATAACAATTTTGATCCTTAGACTGACTAATCAAGTAATTTTTTGGTATACGATCTTCAAAAATTACAAAAGCAACACGAAAACAGAATTATATTTTTTTCTTGTAACGATTTTTGCTTTTTTAATCGAGATTTATCAATGTCATAAGAAACTTTCGAGGAGTTGGTGCTGGTGCTGGTGCTGGTGCGGGGCTAGATGAGGCTTGATGAAACAAAGTGGTGAAAATTTTATCTGCAAGCACTGCATTTGCTGCATCTGTTGGATGAAATGCATCCCAAAATACATACTCTCTTCTATTATTGCATAGTTTTGAATTTGGCAAACATAATCCTCCAACACTTGTGTCTACATTGCAACATGATGTATTTGATATCTTGAAACCTAAAAAAACAAAAAACAAAAATTGTATTCAAAATTGGTTATTGGACATAGAAAAGAGGAAAGATCAATAATGATTATGTCAGATATAAGTATTTTTTTCATCTTTAATTAGAAGTTTTGAGGAGGAAAATTACATAAATACACATTTTATTTTACCCAAATCTCTAAAATTCCCTACCTTTTAAAACAAATTCAAAAATCCCTTCTCCAATACATTACTCTCCTCTCGCTGATACATCTTTATCCTCCTCTGGGATACATCCCTTCTCTTTTTTGATACATTCCTCACCAATGTATCCGGATATCCTATCCCCTCTCGATTACAAAGAAACTTGCTTACACTTTGCTTTATATTGAAAGAAGTCTTTTTCCATTAACCTTTCTACTTAAGTAAGAATATAAGTTGCTTAAGCAAAAACTAGTGTATAAAAATTTGTATGATTTGAGCTTACCATAAGAAGTGGGGTTCTCAATTAAGTCAAGAACAATTGGATAAGTATCTGCAAATGATATTTGTGCATATGGTAGATGTTTATTCAAAGTGGCAATCAATTTTTCCACTTTTGAGTTGAATTCTTGTACCCATAAATTAACTTGTTTCAAACATATTCCCCTTGTGGACTTCACCCTTTGTGAAGGAATACAACCTAATGGTCCAAGTCCATGAAAAATCATCTTTCTTGCTCCAAGTTGATGAAGCCTCTAAAATTCAAGAAAATTAAAAAAAAACGTTAAGTAGTCGTTTGGTTTGAAGTATAAGAAAATTTAATCTTTAATCTTCGATTTTTTGATTTGGTGTTTAGTTTTCAGTAGTAATTTTTGTATAACTTACTGTGAATTGTTCACCTAAAGTTGAGGTTAGAAGCTCTACAAACTCATCGTGCGTGTATTGTTGCCCCGCAGCTAAGAAGGGTTGCAAGAAGTTATTGACATAGTCATTGCTACCTGAAAAGATTACAAACTTGATATCAGAGCAGTAGAAAAAAAAAACGCTTGGACTACTTAAAAATATCGTCAGGTGCATGTTAGATCTTCCAAAGATAATGTTTTATGAAGAATCTGAAACAGATGAACGTGACAGTATTTTAGGAGAGTTTGAGCAATGTAATTAATGAACAAACATACCCATTCCAATAAAATAGACAGCTTGATTAACATGTTTTTCTGCAGCCTCTTGTCCAATTTTAGCCTTGATTGCTTCTTTTGTCTTCTCAAAGCTTTTTATTTGATCATCAAATGTCATTCTTTGAATCTGTAATTATGTGCATATAACAAATTTAGTATCAATTGGAAATGAAATTAATTAGAATATTTTTTTTAAAAATAAAATGAAATGATTATTACAAAATAAAGTCCAGTGTCATTGAGAATTCCAGCTCCACCAGATGCATAATTCACTCCTTTCAAAATTGCATCATCATTTGGTGCTAAAGAAAGATATGGGGGTGGTGATTGAACCCCAAGTTTTGCAGCTGAAAATTGAAGAGGAAAAAAATATGTTAAAAACAACCCATTTTTTTAGTACCCGACAAATATCTAGTTGAAAATCCATCAAAATTTGACTCGTTGATAATGTTTGATGAATTTTTAATGAATTATGTCAGAGACGTCTCTCAGAATTTTTTAGTAATTGAGTTATGATAACATGTTGAACTCGAAATGACTCATCAAATTATCTGCGGGGTACAAATCCAAAAAAAAAGAGAGAGTAAAATAGAACATGAAGATTGTGAATTATGTAAATATGTAATGTAAAGAACTAATCTATTAATTTTCATTTTTTTATTTTAAAAAATAAAAATTAAAAGAGGTGGCGAGGTTGGCTCATGGTGTGTGTGAGTTAGGTTATGACCCGTAATTTAACCCTACTTGACACAACCTATCATGACCACTTAATTGATTCAATCCATGCTAATATATGTTATTCAGATTTATTCAAAATGCTACCTCATGCAGATCCTCTAAAACTTGTGTATTTTGGAGAATCTGACACAAGCACGAAAATATTTTTGAAAAATCAAGCAACATGCAACATAATTTAACCCAACCTGCATAATCGCAACCTGAAAATAGTAGAAAATGAATAAGTTCACTCAAGATTATGAAGCAAAGTTTATAGAAATTACATATAATATCACCAATAGTCCTTCCATTAGTAAATCTACCAGTAGCTTTTCCACCTTCATAATCAATTCCATAAAATGGGAAATTAGATTTGGCTAATGATTGCAAATAATTATTGTTCCCAACTTCAGTCAATGAGTCACCAAATACATATGTAACAACTTGTTCTTCAGCTGAATCCACACATGCAACAATCCCAATAATCAAGAATCCAACAATTACTTGACCTAAATTCGCCATTTTGAACTACTCGAAAAAGCTCGTTCTAACTTACAAAAAGTAGAGAAATTAATTTCAATTGAATGGATACTTCGAGATAGTGCTTGAGAAATGTTGCAATTGATGGTGAGAATTTATAATAAGTATGTAGTGAATTTAATTTGCATAACATTATTTTTAGTCTATGTCATGTACTTCAAGTTTAGTCATAGTAGGTGATGGATTTGATTTTTGTCTTGTTAATGGGAAAATCTCAGAATTTTGAGTGCTAAATTTAATCACAAAGTTTTTTTTTGTTTCCATCTGTCGTTCAGTATCCACATTAGATTCCGACTAAATCCGGATTCGCGATGAAAAATCTCACGTTAGAGTAAAAACACTCCCTAACAAAGATGACACCGGGCCCGAGGAAACTCGAAACCGAGACCTCTGATTAAAAATGAAAGAGTACTTACCACTCCACCACGACCCTTATTGGTTAATTAAAAAAGTTTTAGTTTGTTGGTAGTTAAGAGTTTCTTCTTAATGGTTGAAAATTTTCTTGATTTGGCCAACTGATTTTAGATAATTAAATGTATTTGTTTTTGCTTTTGATTTAGGCAGGAAGAAAAGGGTCTCAACTTGTTAGACTATAATGGTACCATCATTACATATACCAAAAAAATAATTGTACATTCACTATATTTTAAAGTTCCACTTGGCATATACACGATGCAAAAATGATGATATGGCGATGACATGTCATTCTTTGGTGTCAAAAAATTGATTTTTCGGTGATTTATATTTTATGAGTAACTGATATATAGTTTAATGACTTTATTGGTATTGAATTAGTTATGAGACTTTAATATTGTTTAAAGAGGGCATTGTTGCGAAAGTGTAGATGAGTGATAAATATAGAAGGCCTGCTTGAAAGACAATGAAAATAGTGTGGTTCTAAATACTGTCACTACATTGAGATCAACATAATGACATATTTTAATAAATCTTATTCACGTTTTTAATAAAAATAAACATTCTTCTAGAATTTTGATTTAGTTAGATGAGGTAGAAGAGAAATGAGCTAAAACCTTAGAAGAAAAATCCTATCCATATTTTCCAAGGGTTCTTGATCCATATTTTCTGGTTTATTATGCTTTTATTTTAATTTCAGGCAATGAAGATCGAATTATTGAATTGTGAAACTATCTTATCTAAAGTTTAATCGTTAGAAAAAAAAATTACTTTTATTTAATCAATTATGTCTTCAACACACTTTGTCACATGTGAGCTTAATTCTATAATTTCATGGTTGAAATATAAAAGCGTGTTTTTTCTATAATAGTGATGGCAAAAGTTGAACCATAAGACCTTTATTCATCTTATTCATTTAGATATTATGTTAAAATACGTGATCATTTCATTTAAAAACTTGAGTTTTTAAAGAATGACATACAACTATTTATTTAATTATATATATATATATATATATATATATTAATCTTCAATACAAATGTATTTTCCTTTTCTATTAATTATATAAGTAAATAATCTATTTTTTTTACCAAAGAAATAAATTAATGTAGAATTTGAAAAGTTCTAGATGATGACCAAAGAACTTAAGACATCTAATTTGAAATCTAGATTAAGTGGGGTGGGGAGTCTTTTCTTCTTATATCTTAATCCTTTTATAATGTTTGCTATATTAGACTTTAAAAGCTATTTTTCACACTTTAATAGTGAAATTTAAAAAAAAAAACACAAACCAAGTTTAGACTTGATAGGTAGTTAATAAATACTTCAATTTTAAGAGTGCACATTTAGACAATTTAACTTAATCTCAACCGGCAATTGAACACTCCAACTCATCCCTATTGCGTTTCATAAATACTCGAGGCTAATGTAACATATAAATTTTATGTTTGTATAGATCATTATTTTGTAATTTGGAATGCTTAATGAACATGTGAAAGATGAGTTGAAATGTCTATAGAACATTCGTAATTAAAATATTTATTTACCAAATACAGTATGTATGCATATCAAATGCCCCTTTCTCCAAGGCCATAGGAAAAGTAGATAGTCAAATACCTTCTCAAACTTGTTGAATGGTCAGATTAAAAGAATAATTGTGGAATTAGCAATGGAAATATCACCAAAATCAGACATTGACTATGCGTTTAATTAAATTTCATACAATTATATCTTGACTAGCCTCAATTGCTTAAAAATTGGGTATTACTTGTATCTATTTTATCTAAAAGATATATATAAAATGAACACACAATTTATTTATTTTTGTCATGGATCATTTTTGTCCATTTAATTTCAAAGACTTATATAAGGAGACAAATTAAAATCTTGTTTAACGATGTAAAACTCTTAACATTTCTAACACGCCTGGTTTTGATAATTAAAATATGAACAGGTTAATAGTGAAGGCCTAATATAGAGCGAAACAAGAATTTAGATGTACCTGATTGATAAATTTAAAAGCTATCTCAGAAAAAGAAGAATGTCCAAAACTATATGACGAAACAAATAACAAATTATCACTCAGACCAACGATATACAACTATAAGCATCAACTTATAAAAGACTATGTTGACACATTTCCTCGAATGACAATGGGTAATAAATACAAAATCTTTTTCATTTAAAAAATTTAAATCCGAAATCTCTAATTTTAGACGGAGGAATCTCAACTATCTTATCGCAATTCAGGTTATATACAAAGATATTCACTTTGTTGAAAAGAAGTATACAACTTTGATAGCGTGGAAAATTAGTGAAGAAATCAAACACCACACGGCGCATTTGTCCCTTCCCTTGTTCCCACTCAATTATTCAAATGCTTTCACGCAGCCCCCAAAGCCATTGAACCAAAAGCTAAAAAGTTACGCATATGAAAAAATAAATAAATTACTCTTATTTTTTTAAATATTATTTTGATGTATTAGACTAATTATCTTGTTAGTTTTCGAAAATAAGTTTTTCAAATAAGTAAAAAAATCATTTTCATTCTTAAAATATCCTTAAGACGAGTCTATGCAAATAGTTTATGTACCATTTAAAATAGAAATAAAGTCTGTATATAGCTCTTTTAAAATATCCTTAAGACGAGTCTATGCAAATAGTTTATGTACCATTTAAAATAGAAATAAAGTCTGTATATAGCTCTTCAGAATTCACTTGAAAAATTACGCTAAATATACTCCATTATTATTAAAATGCATAATCAAACACCGCTTTAATTTTTAAATACCATTATCAACTTTCAACTTCAAATCATCAAATGTATATGTCTAAGCCCCTAATTAATCCTGAATTAGTACAAAGAACAATTCAATTGACCATTCCATCATTAGTACAAAAAGTGGAACACAAACCACATACTTAGACCTTAAGCCAAAACCCAAAATAGAATCAAATCAATCCCCTCTGTATTCAACCCTGAAAAAATAAAATAAAATAATCTTTGATGTCATAATATTTCTTAAATCCATGTGACATTTCCACATAGCCCCCCACCCCAACCCAAACAACACATTTAGCTCTATTATGTTCTTCATTTTCCCCTTCTTAATCAATTAAAAAAAAAAACCAAAAAATATATATTTATATATATTCTTGTAAATCCTCACAACCCACTTGAAATTTCCACTTGTAAAGCTCAAAGAATCAATCTTTAGCATCCCCATACAAATATTATAAGTGGTTTTTTTAATAGTTCTAAATACGTTCTTGATTGAATTTTTTTCAGTTTTTCGTTCAATCTGGAAAAAAAAGAGTCAAAAAGATCCTAAATCCATCACATATTCTTGTAAATTATTTCAACCCCACTAGAAATTCACTTATAAACTTCAAAGACTCAATCTTTAGCATCCCCATACAAAAATTAATACATTCTTGATTTATTTTTCCCGTTTCATTCAATCTGGGAAAAATAACTCAAAAAACTCCTAAATTTATCACATATTCTTGTAAATTATTACAACCCCACTTGAAATTTCCACTTATAAATCTCAAAAAACACAATCTTTAGTATACCCATGTAAAAATTTGAGATTTTTAACACATTCTTGATTATTATTTTTCCAGTTTCATTCAAAAAAATCTTAAACCCATCACATTTTCTTGTAAATTATTGCAACCCCATTTGAAATTTCCACTTATCAACCTCAAAAACACAATCTTTAGTAGTAGAAATTGTTGATTTTTTTTCTACTTTAAGCTTAATTAATGTCAGTTGCTTGTGGATTTGAGTGTGTTGTGGTTTTAGGATGTATGCGTTGGGTATGGAAACGTTGTACTTACATAGGCAATGATGACAGTGCCACGTGGCCTCCAGCAACCTATGATGAATTTGAACCTATTCCTCGTCTTTGCCGTACAATTCTTGCTGTTTATGAAGATGATCTTCATAACCCAAAGTTTCCACCTGAAGGAGGATATAGGCTTAACCCCAATTGGGTGGTGAAGCGTGTGGCATATCGAGAAACACTTGGTAAATTTTTTATTCGCATTGCTGAAATAGTTTCTTAGGACAGTGTTAGACACGACTGAACTTGTTTGGATGGTTGTTACCTACAATTCAAATACAATTTGTTTTGATTGTTACTTAATCGTATCATTGAATGGTTCGTTAACAGCTTGTTTGGAAGGTTGTTACCTATTGTATTGTGTTGTTTGTTTGACTACCATGTTTGTTTGGATTGTTAATCATATCATTACATCTGTCGTTAACACCTTGTTTGGATGGTTGCTACCTATCGTATCGTATTGTGTTGTTAGTTTGAATACAATGTTTGTTTTGATTGATGCGAAAATTTTATTGTATTGTATCATTAATTCCATCGTTGATAAGTTAGAGAAAAAGTTCCATTTAATGTAGCGATCGATTTGGTGTGATCGCGTCGTTACCTTGTTTTTTTTTTCTTATTTTGTCTTTGCTTATTATTTACAATACAATAGGGAAAAAATGATACATGTAGGGTAGGAGCTAGTTACAAGGGGGTTCAATTGAATCCCTTTGCCGGAAAATGATATTGTGCAAAAAGGGAAAAAAATGTTGGAGAAAATTTTTCTATAGTGTTAAAAGGGGGTTCAAAAATTAGTTTAAGTTGCTGGTTCAAATCATAGGTGGTGTGATATTTTAGTATTTCTGAATCCCCTTATGTAAATTTCTTGCTCCGCCACTGTGTGCATTTACTCATAAAAAATTATATTGCTTCTTTTCCATTTATTTCCAACAATATTTTCATTTAATATTGTTTATTTTTCCCACAGGTAATGCTCCACCTTATTTGATTTACCTTGATCATGAGCACCATGAGATTGTTGTAGCCATTAGGGGTTTAAATTTGGTTAAAGAAAGTGATTATAAAGTCTTGATGGATAATAAGCTTGGGAAGCAGATGTTTGATGGTGGGTATGTGCATCATGGGTTGTTGAAGGCAGCAATATGGATGTTGAATAAAGAATCCGAGACTTTGAAAAGGCATTGGGTTGAGAATGGGAAGAGTTACAGGATGATATTTGTTGGACATTCTTTGGGTTCTGGAGTTGCATCATTGTTGACTATAATTGTGGCGAATCACGGGGATAGATTAGGGGGTATTCCAAGGAGTTTACTCCGTTGCTATGCTGTTGCTCCTGCTAGGTGTATGTCACTCAATTTGGCTGTTAAATATGCTGATGTTATCCATTCAGTGGTTTTGCAGGTGAGTTGGTTTAGTCGTCATTGATTTGCCTATTCTAATTTGTTACAATCATGCTTTAGCAACATATTCAGAAAAATATTACTGCTTGATTAATATTTTGTATATTAGCTTGTGATTGGAAATGTTGGATATGCTGTTTAGTGTGATTTAGACTAAAATGTATGTTCAGTCTGTTGATTTAGCTAGTAATAATTTTGGGCATTAGGAGGCTAGAGGAAGAGATCGAAATTTGATGCTGATAACTTATAAGTCCTAAAATGTAGAAGCGGATTGAATTTTTTTGGATGTCTGATTCCTTTAGGAATTTATCGCAATCACCTTGTGATGAGTGGATGATGAAAATGCGTTGAGACTGCCTTGATTATCATCCCGTCCTTATATTTATTGCAGATAAATGTGTTCTTTTGTTTATAGTTTGTCTTTTTGTCAAGATGTGTTGGCATGTATATATAGTGGTAGTAGGATGGGTGATCCCCTGGGAAGTCCTAGTCTTGCATCCCTTTAGTAGTAGTATTTTGCATTAGCGTAGTATCTTATTCTCACTAGCTCTTTTTATTTTGTTATTATGTTGTCTGTGTTTTCCTTTTTATCCTGTTTTGTCTGCACTTCTTTTGAGCCGAGGGTCTATCATTGGTACCTTGTTTTTACAGGATTTTATAGGGCAGGAGTTGTGTATGATAGTCATTAGATGAACTTTAGGAGACAGATGCACTATCCTATGGCAGTTTTTAGTTCTTCTATACAGCGACCAACTTAATGTAGATTAAAGTTTGCATAATAAGCTTATAACAAATATATTACAGGTATCATGACTTGGGACATAGTCCGAAATGCAAAGTCAGACTATTTGACACTTCCAAATGGTCAGTTTTTTTGTCAAATTAGCATAAAGTTCCTCTTGTCCCAAAAACTAGCTCATTTCAATTCATTCTGTCTAAATCCTATCTTGTTCTGTTCAGTTGGTTATACCAGTTGAAGTTTTCTCTTACAACTCATATCGTTAAGACAATACAGAATAAAGAATTGGATCTAAATATTTCAACTTTCGATAACGAGGGGGAATTTGAAGCCATTAGAGTGGAAGAAGGGACAGTTGTATGTGCTTTTCATGTGTTTAGTGCGCTTCAACTTCTTATTCTGATGGACCAGAGCAGTTGTTAGTTAAAATCCATTCTAAGAAAAAATGAATAAACAAAATGGTATGTATAGCAAGGGAAATTTTGGTCAATCCACTGACCGGAATTGGAACAGCCTCTGCTCTTTGACTCAGACCAAACACTGCTGATTCAGGCTGCTTACTAAGATGGATCGGCCATTATCGGTGTCATGCTCAATCATTTCTGTCAGCTACTGGATATTTTAGATTTAATTGATGGGGCAGTCACACTTTAAGGATATTGCAGTAAAATAATTACCCAAACGATGTTTGTGCTGTTTTTATCTGGGAATTTAAATATTGCTGGCTGAACGCCATGAAGGCAATAAATGAGGCGTTGATTTGTTCCTTATTGCTAAATGGAACTTCATGACACAATCTTGTTCTCTGAATTAACACGTCTATTCTGGCTTCTTCTTCTTCAGGATGATTTCTTACCACGAACACCCACCCCACTGGAAGATATATTCAAATCCGTCTTCTGGTTAGTTCAATTATCTACACTCTTTGGGTGCAGAGCGAAGCCCTTGAGTTTCCTAAATTCCTTCATACCTTTTTTGCTATGGATGAATTGTTTTAAGTATCTCTTAAACTGGGCATTGATGCTTTCAACAGTTTACCATGCTTGTTATTTTTGGTGTGCTTGAGAGATACCTTCATACCGGAAGGTAGGAAGCTCAGAGATCCAAGAAGATTATATGCCCCTGGTCGAATGTATCACGTCGTTGAAAGAAGATTTTGCAGGTAAATCACATTCAAATATTGATATTACTATTCTGCACTATTTTCAGGCAGTTTTTACTTTTATGATCTCTGAAGAGGATTTACTTTTTAGACACCCTTACCTCCTCATTGGAGTGGCTGGTTCCAAGATTCCCACCCTGTCACACGTCGAAACGCAGAGCGCTTCTCCGTTGCTCCAAGGATAAAATTTTAGAATTTCGCATCAATAGGTTCAGACATATGACCTCACTTAGTGACTTTGGCAACCACAACATACCACCTGACGTCTTGGACTAAGAAGCATTTTTGAACTATTCAAGATGTTACTGAAACTTTTCATATTTGAAATATGTTACTATGCTAGTTCCTGTTGCTATTTCCAAGCTAATAGAGCAATGCAGACTAGAATTGATTTAGCCTTGCATCAAAATTTGATGCTCCTCTCACTGATTGAAATTCTAGAAAAGAAAGGCTAATGACACTTCTGGACTAAAGACACCTAGAAGAACTTGTAAGCATGTACAGTCACTAGGGCATGTAACAAAATATTTAACTGCTGATATTCATCTTTGCTTGATTCAGATCTAATGTTCGTAGAAGAGGCATGGAAGGTGTTTGCTTATCCTTCCATACTAGTACTCGTAGTATTACATTTGTAGTTTATTATACTTTGAGTTTGGTTGCTATCTGTTGTTTTATGTACTTTGATTATCATATTATTTACTTGTGATTACTGTTCATGATGATTTGTCTTGTTGTCTATAGAATTTTGCCATGACTTCTTCACTTCTGTTATTTCTTTTTACCGTGCTGCTTTGGACTGTTTTTCGTTGAGCTGAGGATCTATTGGAAACCTCTCTACCTCCAAGATAGGGGTAAGGTCTGCATACACTATACCCTCCCAGGCCCCACTTTATGTCATTACACTAGGTATATTATTGTTGTTGTAGGCATGGAGGTGTAGTTGTATACCTTTTACTAAGTCAACAAGCAGAGAAGTTCACACAAGTCAAATCATTTAGTCTAGCTAACTGATATACACCATCTAAGCATCCAAATTTCTGGTCAGACAGAGTTCTTGTATTGCTATTGCCTACCATGATTGCCATTCTCTACTGATGAATGCTGCCTTTAAATTCCCATCGTTCAGAAGCTTTTAGTTTTAGTTCAACTAGAAATCACCTGATGTGATTTTCTTAATTGTGTCATACATGGAGGGTAATGATTGGACACATAGCCATTATGTTAACAGACTTAAGTACTTTACCAGACCTGATTGCTTACATTCCAAAAGTTTTAGCTTAAACTTTTTAATTAGTGCGTGTTTACCTTTTTCTTCTCAAGTGCATTATGAATTGCCCGAGAGTGGAGCCAAAGTCTTTAATTTTTCTCATGCTGCGATCTGAGATCATTACTTACTGAACTTTACTGCTCATTGTGTTGTACTCCCCTATCCCAATTTATAGGGCACTCTGTCCATTTTAGTCGGTCCCAAAAGAAAGGCACCTTTCTTGTTACATGTTCAAAAAAAAAAGAATGACACATTTCTATATTTACTAACAATTTTAACTTTAATCTCCAATTTTACGCTTAATGAGATGATTGATAGTCACACACACACACTAACATCTATGACTTATTTTAGACTACAAGTTTCAAAAGTCTTCCTTTTATTCTTAAACTCGGTGCCTAGTCACACACCTTCATTGAAACGGAGGGAATATTTGATACTATGCTTAGATTCAGAGTTATTGAACAGATTGTTTACTGCTATTATGTATCTCATTCATAACGAAATCTTGGGGGTACCCGGTGTTGACCGCTGCTTGTTCTATTCTAAGCAAAAAGAAAAAGAGATCTTTTTTTGTTGCAACTTCTTTGGAAGCTGAGCTCTTGGGTAAAATTTTAGAAAGCCAGTTTATAATTGATTTACCCTGGCACTAAGATCAATTCGCTGATGTTGTGACATTGATGCTTCATTACTTTTTCTTAATCACGTTTTGTTTCTTGACAGATGTGGGAGATTCCCTCCAGATGTTAGAACTGCCATCCCAGTTGATGGAAGATTTGAGCATATTGTGCTGTCATGCAATGCAACATCTGATCATGGAATTATTTGGATACAAAGAGAATCAGAGAAGGCGTTAGCGGTAAGTGACTTCTGGATATTTTTCCATTTGAAAAGAGAACAACATCATCATTAATGATTTCATTTTGATCAAACATGTGAGTTAAATGTCTTACCTTCACTGCAAGCCTGAAGAGTTCAAAAGAGACTAGCCTAATGTTAGGCATTTTTTAACGGATCAGAAAAGAAGCGAGCTGCGTCTTTTCCCCCTTCAAATATCAGTTTTCACAAGTAAATATGATAACATTTAAGGGAAAAAGGGAACATTGACATATGAGCCTCTAAGGCGTAATGAACTTCATGGTTATCCAGGGTGTCCTCCTTGTTATAAAGTCATAATTTTTTTGGGGTATAATAGCATTTCTCCCAAGGCCAACAAAACAATGCCCGCTTATCTCTAAATTCACCTAGTAGCTTAACTGCATAGCAGCTATCTAGTTTTCACTGCACGGCTTTATTTGGTATTAGTTCGAGAATTTCATTCTTTGTGTTGGTCTTGCCTTATCAAGTTTGAACAATAGAAACACACCCCACTCCATGACTGTTCCATATGTAGGTGAAACTAGACTGTCTATGTGCTAAGTTTCCGTGAATTTGATTCAATTCCTAAGATCCCAAAGGAGCAGAATAAGTGTGCCAAACGCTGCCATGTTTCCATATCCTAGAAAGTCATTTTGATTTACTTGAAAATGTTTGTTGAAGAAATATATGTTTCCCTGCAGAGACTCAAGGAGGCTACAAGTGCTGAGGCACCGACAGCTCCACCACCGGTGCAGAAAATTGTAAGGCAGCACACACTAGAAAAAGAACACAAGAAGGCATTAGAAAGAGCTGTCACTTTAAATATTCCACATGCCGTGCCAACAGACACAGATGAGGAACTATCAGTACATAAAGAGGAAGAATCAGCGCGAGGAGTAACAGAGACGGCTTCTCTTATCGAAGATGCATCCACAAGTACAAGCCATTCCACCGATGCAAGAACTAACTGGAACGATGTAGTTGAAAAGCTTTTCGCGCAAGATGAAACGGGGAAGTTGACATTGAACAAAGAAGCAAGTTGTAGTACTGAATGACAACTCCCTTTGAAGGTGCTCTCTCTCTTCTTATTTTTTTTTTCTTCAATTTTTTTGTGATGATTGAAGAAAAGTATTATTCTTGTTCAATTATTTGTACATTTTTCTTATGTAAAACAATATATCTGAATTAGAATGTACAATTCTAAAGCCCCAAAGAGGGGAATATAGAAACAGAAAGAAATGATAAGTGGTTGTAATTGCATTTTTATTTGTTTTGTTTGTGAAATGTTTTTGTATAGTTTTTGCTCCTATGATGATGTGTTTAAATTTATGACTGATCATATCCTCTTCACTTTGTCAATTGCTTGACATTTTTCCTCTGTCCATCGTTAAATTCATCGTTATGTAACCACAACAAGTCTCATTCTATGTGACGACCAATTTGGTGTGGTTGTGTTTACCTTTTTTCTCTCATTGGACTTTGCTTATTACATTATGTTATCCTTACCTTACCTTTTTTTTATACATAATAATTTGTATCCCATATCCTACTTTGTTAATAATATTACAAGGTCATTCTTCATATAACAACCATCCAAACAAGTTGTTAGTTGTTAACTCATAATATCAAAATATCAACACACAATAAACTAACATAAGAGTACCCAAAAAGTAATTGACACTGTATCACATGGAAAATTTAGAAATTCAAGAGAGTGATTATTTAAAGTCAAGAGCTCTCCAACTTACACGTTACGAATATAAATCCATCTGTATCAACAGTGAAATTTATGATTTCAGATGAATTTAGTAACTTTTACACAATTCTTTAATGTTTTTATTGTGAACTCAATTATTATACTCTCTTTCTGTCTGAAATAGCTGCCTCTGAAATTCAAAACTCTTAAACTTCAAATCCTGACTCGTTCCTCCGTGCCTATAAGTATCCCCCATTAATTCCCAAACCCCTCACTCAACAACTTCCATCACACACTTAAAAAAATCATCATCAAATTATCAATATGCAAATGATTTTACTGAATACGTTATTGTGTTCACTCAATACTCATTCAATTCACTTTATCTCCTCAAATGGATAGAGTACAATTGAACAATATAAATTACCTTGCGCATGATTCAAGCAGAACTTCAATTGTAAAGGAACATGGGAAGACAAATAAACCACTCTATTTACGATTCGTTCATTAGGGGATTAGAAAGCATTCATCAAACAATCCCTTTATCGTACAATCATAAACGGTAAGAAACTACAACTGGAAAGCATGAGTTTGGTGACGGGATACACAGAGATAGTAGACTTGATCGGTTCTTCGGTTCCTCTAGTTAAGTCACAAGTTATAGCAGTGACACATCTAAGTTTGCATGGCGTCAGCATTGGCGTGGTAGCTGTCCAGCTCCTTGTCAAGATCCTCAGCTGACTTATCAGCGGCCCTGTTACTTCCCCTACCACCACGGCCACGACTTCTACCCCAACCACGACCGCCACCGCCACCTCGACCACGTCCAGGTGCATTTCTAAAACCACCACGGCCCCTTTGACTGTATGGAAAAATGAAATCCAGGTTACACACATGCTATTAACATGCAACCATGAAAAGCAGCTCACACTGAACATCTCTACCGGTCTGTATTTATACATGTATTTTTCTTTGTTTGTTTATGTTTAAAAGAAAAATACATGTATCTTTGACTTTATAATAGGAACACAAGCACAGCTCGTCAAACAAGTAAAACCACATCAGAAATTTACCTAGAACCACGATTAGTAGCACCTCCTCTTCCACGAGCTGGACCACCCGGCCTGCAGAAATCGAAGTACAAATTCAACTCTCAAAGAAAGAACAAACATTTGCACAAACCCTTTGGTAAGATGCTTATACACAAAGAGCTTTGAGTATGTAAGCACACACAGTTGGCATTCAAACATACACAAACATGAAACAAAAATATTCTCAGGCCAAAGAAAGAGATGGCCAATAGATTAACATACGCCATAACAACAGTCCTCCTCCGGTTGGTTCCTCCAACTACATTTACACGAGCTGACAAAGGAATTTCTGGGTTGGAACCAACTATTTCAATCTTCATAGGCTTGCCATCCAACTGCACATTGTTATATCTCTTAAGAGCTTGGAATGCATCACTTCTTCTGGCAAAGACCACCTCAGCAGCGCCCTGAAAGTTGAGATAAGATCAACTTCACATTTGAGGACACAACTAAAACCACACAGACTAGCATTATAAAATTCAGAAACATTGAGTCCAAATATTGAAACTCATAGCAAAAGACCTAAGCAACAAATACACATCTGCATATGTATGCAACTACGGACATGTGCTACTAGATGTTTAATAGCTTCTACTTCTTTTTCCTGAATACTACTACATGATAACCAAAAAAGGACAAAAATTTGATTTGACATTATTATTTCAAGGGAAAAAAAACCTTCAAAAATAAATGTCAACACATATATTAAAGAGTAGAGAGTAGCGCTTTCTAGAAAACCAGTGACAGGGACTTGTAGGCCATTTTCAATGGTCCCACTTTGCTAAAACCGCTTGCAATTATATCCATAATCAATTTGACAGCCTTTGGGATACCTTCAAACCCCCTTAATAACTATAATTTAATACTACCAAGTTAATCAAATACTACCAAGTTAATCAGAGAATATATTTTTCATGGGTCTTCAAATCTTGATTTCGACCAGTAAATGTGATTTCATACAATACTAGAGAGTTAAGGCTAAAGAACTTCAACTCTCTTCTTGCGTAATTTCATACCATGTTTACAAGTCAGATACAAGGAAATTTCCACCCTTAAAAGGAAGGGGATATGCAGTTTGTAAAACCAAACTACTACTATGAACTCAAGACAAATGCTACTACCAAATAGCTTACTGCTGCAAATCTATATGTGAGAATATATGGTTCTATTGAGATAGTGCCTATTTTATTTTCTGCAGAGGTAATATAACAATGAAAGACCTACCAAGAGTAAACCAGCAGCATGCGACTAAGAATTAGTATATTCAATTAATCCACAACTGAAGGTCTTGAAACAAATAACAGGAGACAAAGGGTCCATTAAAATTTACAGAGACATAGCAATTAATTATAGATCTTCTATTATATCAAATTCTTTTAACCAAATCTCCCAAGAGCTAGTAGTTCAAATTTTTGACATCTTAAAGTAGATCTATTCTTCTATGCCTTTCACAGCCATGCCAATCTTCGCACAACTTTAACTTTCTTAGAACTTCATCAGCGAACTGCTGGTGATATTCTTCCTTTTCATTCTCCTCCTCTCATCTTGTTATAATTCAATCATGTTTCTTTCTTCCACATTAAATAATACTACACACAAATTCTTATAGTGTTACCTTTAAACAGCAAATAAACAGATTCATTTGTATTAATAAACATATAGCAACTTAGCAAGTAAAAAGATCTTGAAAACATTATAATACAAAATGAAGAGCAGAAAAACTTACACTTGGACGTCCATTTTTGTCATAGTGGATTGCAAATCGTACTAGTTCTCCCATCTCCGAAAAGAGTTCCTGTGTTTCAAGACTGGTTTTAACAAATCTTCAAAGACATCTATTGCAAAGGAGTGTATAATGTGAAAAGACAAGCTCAAGGTGTACCCTTATATCTTCATTTGTCACTCCAATGTCTAAATTAGAAACATATAACTTTGTGCCACTCTCCAATACTGATGACAGTCCTGCAGCTCTAAGGCTATCTTCAAACAAACCATTCTGCCATGGCAAATTCTTGGTTCTGCGGAAAGTCTGAAGCAAGCATGCCGGAAAGATTAACAGGTGTGAAAGTAAAAGTCAGCATGCTACCAAACAATTAGATAAATTCACCATTCTTCGACAGTAGATCATTTCATCAAAGTTCCATCGCACTAGCAGTAGTTTCCAGTTAAGTTGAATTGCTCAAAAAATGCAATCTAATTGCAAAAGAGAAGTCAACGATGCAGAATTAAGTGTAGATGGGAGTTAAAGGATTTGACCCACTGCACATCAGGTACTTAAGCAAAAAGGTAAGAGCTCCAGTTCTGATGTTCAAATGAAGCCACCTTTGCAAAAAGGCCTTGAAATGAGATGGTAACAGAAGATCTTGTCCCTTAGCAATTCCACAAAATGCAAGTAGAATTCATGAAGACAGCCACAAACTCCCTCTTTAAACCAATAATGAGAAACTAGAGCAATTGCTACTAGACAATAAGGATAACAGACGGTTAAGAAAGTTCCCTCTAATCTCTATACATTTAGGGGTTAGGAACGTTTAAATGCTACAAAGAAGTGATTTGCCTGAATAGGCCACCTGAATCTCCCACTTAAATCAAAATCCATCAGAAAACCTCTAGTAAGGAGAAAGTTCAAAGATCATCAACAAGTGCACTACAGTTGAACAGCTATTATGGCTGAACCACAGTGGACTTCTCCTTGGAACCATAAGGATAACAGACGGTTAAGAAAGTTCCCTCTAATCTCTATACATTTAGGGGTTAGGGATGTTTAAATGGTGTGAAGGCTCTTAAATTTTCAGTTAATGAATCTCCCCAAGAAGCATGCTACAAAGAAGTGATTTGCCTGAATAGGGCCACCTGAATCTCCCACTTAAATCAAAATCCATCAGAAATCCTCTAGTAAGGAGAAAGTTCAAAGATCATCAACAATTGCACTACAGTTGAACAGCTTATTATGGCTGAACCAAAGTGGACTTCTCCTTGGAACCAAAAAAATCAAGAGTCACTTGTACGTCAACTAAACAAAAGCAGAGAACCTTCAGTTGGGTTCATAAAGCATATCAGATGTGTCTATGAAATCATAAGATTTCCAATAGTTTTGAGCTTGCCTTGGCAATGGTGTAAGCTGATGGCCGAGCATTAACGCCAAGTGGCCCTCTACGAGGAGCTCCCGTTGTCCTTCCACCTCTAAATGGTCCACCTCTAAATGATCCCCCTGCCCCTCTTCCACGCCGGGCCCTGCCTTGACCCCTGCCACCCCTCTCGGTATTTCTCCTACTTTTTATCATATCATCCAGGGTCATATCCAGTGAAGCCATGATGAGGTAATGCAGACTGGGAAAACTTCAGCTAAAGCCAATCTGTAAGAAAGGAAACAAATCACATCAACGGTGATTGTTAAAATCATGTTTAACAAAAGCAATCAGCAAGAAAAAACCCACTACAAATACAAAAATGTTCCAACTAAGGGTAGAATCTTACAA